CCTTCGTGGCGAAGCATATCTTAGCGAAGAGTTTTAAAAGATTATATGACAATTAAAGATCAATATGAATGCATCGGTATGTGAAGTCATTTACAAAAATCTATGATTTATATAAAGGTATATGTTCCCTAAGCATAATGTTAACTTTATTATTTCATGTCAAACAATAATTCGTATTTTATGCGAGTAAGAAAAACGTCAATAAATGAGCAACATTGTCGTTTGAAAAATATAATACTAAAACTTTTTATTATTTCTGTGTACTCAAAGTATGCATAATATCTACTTCTATTTTATTGTATCATTTCAAATGAAATAACTTTATATTAATACTTATTATTATTTATTGTTTATATACCGATTCGAACTTAATATTAGTTACCTACTAATGGTGCAGACAATCTGGTACAAGGTTTATATGGCACAAAATGTCTAATGCACAAATAATCGCATGTTGTGATAGATTTTTGATGTAAAAGCTGTGATAATATTTTTATATAAATTCCTAATCCTAATCGCGGTAGACTTGTAACATGAATATGTATCCATCAGTTCCTACTAATAGAATGAATTATCTGTACTTGTCGCTTGTTTTTGGCGTGAAATTAAGTTTTGTTCTTTCTTTCTTTTTTCTAATAATATCCATCTTAATTGTAACTTGGACTTAACTCAATTAAATGGTTGGTTAAAAGTAAATGAACAAAAACTAAGTTTCGAGATTCTGTAGTCGATATCAACAAAATGTTATATTTTTATTAAATTGCATAGATACACAAGTTCACTTTAGAGTAGAGTCTTGAAATGAGCAAAAACCTGTAATCAATCGATAACGTACGAATTTTATGACGGACGTCCTGTCGCGGGTACTATAAGTAATATATAAATAATTCGACATGATATCAATATGTTACATCATTGGAGGGACAAACATTAGATACTCCATTATCAGCTCTAAATAACATAATGGCGGAATTCCCCAAATATTTTGCCAAATATACGTTACCGACGTATACCATATAAATAGCATAAAAAATTATACATATTTCAAAATGACAAAGTAGTTTCAATTAATACTTAAATACTACATTAGTAAGCTATATACATAGATCTTAACAATATTTGAACAAAAAATTGCAGTGAGGTCTATGCATACATAATTTAAACTTAGCGCGTTGAAGTCTTTTAAAAGGGATTAAATTTTAAAACTTATTAAACAATATTATGCTATTATTTTAATACTGTTACGCTTATTTTACTATGGACGTGTGCGTGTACAGTTCGTAAGTGCGATTTGTATGACGACAGACGGTGTATTCAGAGTGGTCCCCCTAAATAGTAATAATACAAGGTGCCGCATGTCCGTGCGTACTTGACAGTGGCCGATTGTCGGCAGGTGTCTGCGCTCGTCTCGTGGCTCGCCTGCATGTAATCCTACTTCCTCAGTCCACAGTGGCGTGATTATGATCAATATTGACGCAGATGTGTCACTGTACCGTCGCATTACGTAATAATATCAACGTTTGTTTAGCCAGTGGTCGCTGCAAGGACGAGCCTGCCCTGCTGCCAGCCACCGGCGACTGCTAGCACCCGGCACTACATGCGACACCTCACTCGCACTATTATATAATAATCCTCGGCCTAATCAAGCAACTACAATCAGAGCTACATGTCGCCTCCACTTACTTCTAGTCGTAAGGCTTAACATAACCTTAAGGATGTTAATAACAGACAACTGAATCCAATTCAACTAATAGAAATTATTGGAACCCATGCACTGCACTTGGTTACGAACGATTTCAATCGTAAGTATAACGGTGCTCGTAAATAAATCACACACAGAACACGACCGTTTTCATGAAAACGCTACGAAAAGCATGTAACGTACGCAACACCGGGGGAAAATCGTGAAAAGTCATGTGTCGACGAAATCAGCCGTTCTGGAGGTCACGACGTGGGAATCAGCTGATCGGGTAAAAATTTGTACTGAGTAGCGAGGGTAGAGTGTGATGAGGGTACTCACCGGCTGCGGTCATCAGCCACCACCAGCAGCAGCAGGCGGTGACGAGCGCCCGAGCGCCGGCCATTTCAGCGGCAGCGCATGACACGCGCGCTCTCGCCGGCCGCCCCGGCGGACTGAGCATGGCTCGATCGATGCTCGCTCGCGCCTCTCGGACACGCACCCTCCGGCAGCAGCCCCGCCCCGCTCCGCCCCACCCCGCCCGCGCACAGCCCCCGCCACCATTTCCCGACTTTCCTCGGAGAGCGCGCGCGCTGCCCTCTTTTCTGGCGGATCGCTGACCGCCCCTAATTGATTGGGCCCGTTCTCTTGCCGAACATGTTTTAGGTCAGTTCAGCCGCAGAGCCTCTGCGTCCTGTTCTTAGAAACTTGATGATGAATAACTGAGGGGTGTACTGTGATGAAATTCTAACAGTATACAGATGAAGCTAAATCTCTATTAGTTAACTCATATAAGATTCAGTAAACAAACTTCTTTTTCCAAATAGTTTTTCCGTGTAGTTTTCGTACGCACTGAGAATTGACACTGATAAGTAAAAACTACGTTTTTTTGCCAATTTGAACACAAATAAGTCTCTCGCAGTGACAATCGTCACATTTTTTAATCTTATATATGTATACTTTTTATTTTTATTTATATAGAGTTTCGTTCTAAATATTAAGCGTCTCTTGCCTTGCCAAAGCGAACCCTCAATGAGGCGTGCTAAAATAAACAGGAAATAACTACATTTTTCGCCTTCCTGTCAATAATTGAATCGAGTCTCTGAAAATGGTTACAGAAATTCTGAAAATTCAGTTTCCGGTCCTAAACTAGGCTATGCAAAAAGTTACAACACTTTTCTCATTTCGACTGCGGAAAATATAAAGAAATGAGATAGACGGGAGGTTTTAAAATGGTTTTTGATATTATTTCTATTCATGTCTTATTTTTACAGTTGTTAAGACTTCGTACCCAGACGCGGACGACCTAGTTATTGAAAAGGAGCGATCGTTATCACTTGGACAAGTTGGACACAGGCAGCTATTTTCGCAATATCTAAACTAGAAACCAAAAAGATAGGAAAATGCATTATTTACCATTTTTAAAAAATAATAAACATAACATGTCATAACATAGTGTCACTCCTTTTATTGCCGCCTTCAAAAAGAGGAGGAGGTACTATAAACTTGTATGTTCGCCGATTAACATAACATCACGCCTTTTATCCTCGAAGGGGTAGGCAGAGGTGCACATTATGCCACTGTACAATGTAACACCCACTTTTTCACTATTTATGTTATGAGTCCCATTTAAGGGGGTGGGTCTATTGCCATATACCGGGCACAGTTCCAGACTCCGTGCTACTACTGAGAATGTTTTAAAAACCCCGTAATACTTTGCCCGACCCGGGAATCAAACCCGAGACCCCTTACCCGGCAGTCGCAATTGCGACCACTCGGCCAACGAGGCCGCAGTAAGTATGTAACTTTTCCTAATGGTTTGGAACCCGTCCTGGCTTAGCATATCGGTCAATAGCGGTAATGAAGGGTATAACCTTGGTGTCTTCAAGTCCCGAGTGAACAGGTTACTCATGGGCAGACGTGCTCCATCTTAGGCCGCATCATCGCTGAGATAGTGGCCAAACGTTGACCCAGCTCATACATAAAAATAAAACAAATTGCCTTCAACATCAACAAGATCAACTGCCAAGTATAAGTACGTCGCGGAGAATCTAACGGGTTACCGGGGCTTCAATCACATTGGTACTTGCAGGCTGGTGGTAGGATTCGAACCCGCACCCCTATGCATGTGACGCGATCTTTTTCCTTATTTTTAACAGAAAGTTGAACAAGTGTCTCGGATCGACAGATGCATTTAACTTTATTTACAGGAATACCACGTGAAGAAGTAAGTGCGAGAGTACGACTGCCGGGCAAGGTGTCTCGGGTTCGATTTCCGGGTCGGGCAAAGTATTACTGGGTTTTTTTAAATAATTCTCAGTAGTAGCATGGAGTATGGAATAGGGTAAATGCCTAATTTTTATTTTAATGTCCGTCTGGTAGATTATTTTAAATCATTCGACACGTATTTTTTATTTTCTTACATAAACGAATACTTTCGACGATATATTGATTTGAAATGTCGCGTGACGTCACTTCTATGTACATTTTATACGTAGAAATCACGTTTTAGCCCGCACTCCTAAAATTTGATTTATTTTATCTAAGTATTGTTTTATTATACGACAAATTAAAAATTGTTTTTGTTACCTAACTTACGGACTAATTATATTTTTACTTTTCATACCCTGTCATCATCCCAATTGTGTCCGGTATTTGGCAATAGGCTCACCCCCTTTACAGGAGACTCATAACATAAATAGAAAATGAGATAGGCAGTACCTTACCCACATGTAACGTCAGGCAAGACAGTTTAAACTTATGCTCCTGCTCGGCATTATGATTGTCATTATTATATGATATTGTATCATTGTCGTGTCGCGAGGGTGTGTGACCACAGCACCACGGTGCGCCACACACACCACAATAATGTAATACTGCCCTTACTCTAATGTTGCAAGTTTCAAACACTTGGCCCGTCTGCCACTCTATTAAAACCAGTGATTAAAACAAACGTATTTTCTTGTCGTATTACAAATCAAAAAAGTTTGCATCCTACGAGGTTTCCGAAAGAATAAATTGTGGAATCTATGGACAATGAGATTTAATTTTGAAGGCTGGCACTTGACAGCTGACAGTGTCGAATTGTCACCAATGAAATGTCAAGCATTGTTTGTTTAGGATCGATGCAAACTCAAAACAAAATCACAACTTGTAAACATTTACGCTTCTTTACCATGTTACTTAAAAATCGAACTAATTAACTTAAGAACATCGCAAGTATTATGTTCGGAAGAATTCATGTGGCAGATTTTCGAATTGGTGTTCTTGAATTCTCCACAAAACATAAATTGTTAGCTATCGTAATCAGAAAACAACGCAAATGAAAGTGAAACGCGGTTATTACGATGTTTTCGTAAACACATGCGCTAAGTATCCATCCAACATCGCCGTGAGACACTATGTGGACGGAGTGTACAAGACTTACACGTACTCCGAACTTTACGGCGTCTGTGAGTACTTATCGCAAAAACTACAACTCCTGCAATGTAACAGAGGCGTAATTGGACTTATTTCAGAAAGAAACATCATCATACCATGTATCATAGCTGCGTAAGTACTTACTATCGTCGTCTTAGTTATACAAACTAGCAGCTGATTATACAAACTACAATTTGTTTAAAAATTACATTGTACGATTTCAGAGCCCACAAAAATTGCACAACATTTATGTTTGTGGACCCAACCCAAAATATAGATGTAATAGCTAAAGAAATTGAATTTACTATTATAATGACCATCAGGACAAATGATCAAGATCCTAATGCAGAGGTATTTGGTAAAAAGCCGGAACAAATTGTTGCAGTGTTTGATTTAATAATATGTTTTTATAACTTTGATGGTGGTAACGAGCCACACATGGCACATGTGCCTCAACACTCATTTATTGCTTTAACTTCTGGTAGCACAGGAGAACCAAAACATATTCAGGTTCCTATTCAATGCATCCAACCTAATATAGATGACTTAACTAAAATGTTTACCATCACCCCACAAGATGTCATATTCTTCTCAACTCCCCTTACATTTGATCCTTCCATGGTAGAAATATTACTAGCATGTATCAACGGAGCCTCTCTACTTATTGCACCGGACAGGACAGATGTGTTATTCCCAGAAAACAAAGCTAACTCTATCACAATTTGGCAAACAACACCATCAAAGTTCTTGCAATACTCCAATACAGACATCAGAGACAAAATTTTAAGTCAAAACTCAACACTTAAAATATTAGCACTTGGTGGAGAACCTTTCAATGGTGTTAAAAGAATAAAAGAGTTGAAGCACTTGCATAACAACACCAAACTATTTACTCTGTATGGCGTCACCGAGATGTCATGCTGGGCCTGTGTTGCTGAACTAGATTTGAGCACAATTGCAACAGACAGGGAAGTACCCCTGGGAAACTGTCTCTCTGAAACAGAAATTATAATTGAAGATAACAAAGAAAATGCCAACACAGGAAAAATTATATTAGGTAACTTACTTTAGTTTTTAAGGCTTTGGGTGCCAATAGAAAAAAGGATGGAGGTAAATCCTCTGCTAATGTTGGTCATCGGTGACCCCCATGGCGTGTTAATAAGATTAAGATAATGTTTTTTGTAATGTCACTTGTTTTATTTTAGGTACTTACTTGTACTTTATTTCTTTTTCAGTTAGCAAAAGTAGAAAATGTGTTATTTTAAACAAATCAAAAGGCCATGAGGAGCAAAATTCATTAAAATTTCTGGACACCGGTGACATTGGGGAAGTCAAAAGTGGCACTATTTACTACAGAGGTAGAAGGGATGACATCATCAAGAGGTTTGGACATAAGGTCAACTTAATGAATATTGAGGCTGCTATAATGCAATGTCCAAGAGTAAAAACATGTTCATGTCTTTGGTTACCAAAACCAATGCTAGTAGCTGTGTACTTCTCATCCGAAACACTGAGCAGCCAAGAATTGTCAGACTTTTTAAAATGCAAACTTGATGATAAGCATTGGCCTGACAAAATTATAAGAGTAGATAATCTACCCACTAATTCTCATGGGAAAGTATCAAAGAATACTTTGTGCAATATGTTTGAAAAATTGATGAAAGCGCCACAAACTGAGGATTCAATAAAAGTGACCTTTATGAAGGAACTGAAGAATTCAATAGGTAAAAACTTAATATATGACCAGATTAAAAATAAAGACTTCTTTGCATTGGGAGGTACATCTTTTCTGGCTGTATCTCTTTGCAACAATCTGTCCCAAACTTGTCTACAATTTGGGAAGTTGATTCTTCCATATTTGATGACACAGAAGCACACCATAGATGAGATTATGCAGATAGCCTATAAACAGTTGTGTATGGATGCGACCAAAGCTAAAAAGCGTCTTAAACGGGCGAGACCTGAAAGTGAAACTGCTGAGTTAGATGAGGTTGTAAAGAAATCAAGTCATGAGTCAATCAGCTCTATAGAGTTTACTATGATATGGAAACATGACACTGGCAAATGTGTGGATGCTTCACCAGTATTGTTTCAATCTGGATAGTAAGTAAACTCATTTACCTCATGAGGAGTAGTGAATAAGTACATACTTACACATAATGCGCCTGTGACTTTTAAATAGCAACTTGATTACTATTTTTATATTCATATAGGTATTTATTACTTATATTATACTGCTTATTTTTTATGTAAACTACACTGTTCAGTTAACATAATTATTATTGTCCTGCCATATTATATTAAATTGGAACTATCTCTACTTCGGACTTCATCGCGTCATCGCGTCATTCACGACGGATATAAACAATTTGGACATTCTACTTTACAACACTGCAAGTAATGAAGCTTTATTCGACTGTCGCATATTTAGTGGCAGGTGGCGTGGCTCAGGAACTTCTGTCCTGCAACCTGCAGTTATTGAATTAAAATTTAAGATGTACAACTTCTATAATAAAAAATTATTGCTTTTCCAGCAACCTGTATGTAACAGTGGGCAGTCACTCAGGACAGATCGTAGTACTAGACGCAATAACCAGTGAGGTCCAAGCCAAGTTTCTTATAAATTCGAGGATCGAAGCCGGTGTCATGTGTTACTATGACCCAGACATCACTCCACCGTGTGGTGTGGTCGGCGGGTATGACGGCACCGTCATCTGCTTCTGTCTCGACACCTTCAAGGAGAACTGGAGAGTCAATATAGGCTCCATGGTCAAAAGCAAGGCAGTCTGTGTGAAGGGACATCTGTATGTCGCTTCCTACGACGGCAATGTTAGATGTCTTGACATCCTGGTATGTGCTTTAGATCAAATAATACATTCACTTGTTATTTTAATGCATAATGGTTACACTGAAATGGGTTTTGTTGGTATAGTGTTTGGCATTATATAAGTAACTATTCATATTATGATTAAAGTATTTATAGCTCGCTATAAGCATAGATACCTATTAAGTACCTACAGTATAATAAATAATTATGGTGTTATATTATACCAACTACAGTTGAACAGTTTGAACAATATTTCATAGTAGGTACCTAGGTACTGACGCATGAGTCGACTATACATCATCAAACTGATAATAATATATTACTTATACATTTTTATTTTGGTGTTCGTGATTAACTCATGCTATTCAAGTAACACGAAATCACACATACACAACGCGTTCTCCCTATTTTTGCTAAACAATATATCGATTTATTAAATCATTGACCTGTTATCAAACACGTTATCATATGTTGAGCTGTCTGTTACCTACATTATTATATCCATTATGTACTTAGGTATGGTATGACTAATACAATTATATTCCAACTTAATTGCTCTCACATTATTCTGCTTCAGTGGGCGTATATCAATATTAACGCAATTGGCTAGTTGGAACAAACCAATTCATATAGTTCAAAACAAAATCTAGGTACAGTGCCTCTGCCCATTTAGTTTCTGGGTATTTATTAGTGTAATTCTTAGATAGGTAGCTATGGTCAATCAAACACCGCCACATCACATTGAAAATCCTCTTAAAGCCCCCTCGCCTGCGAAAGATAAAGGGGTCAGCTGCAAACTCTCTCATACAAGATTTTCATCTTTGCAAAGCATTTATGTTGAACAATTTGAATAATAGGATAGGTTGCTATATGTGAAGCCTAAAGTTTGAACCCTAATAAAAATAGAACTTTCATCTTTAGACAGGTATGACAGGTGAGACGATAAACATTTGCGACCAAGCCATATCTGCTGACCTGGTGCTTGCGAAGAAAGAGTACGTGATACTTGGCTCACTGTCAGGTGTGTCCGCCTGTATCCAGACCACCACCAACACGGTGGTCTGGCGCAGCTTGCTGGGGAGCCCGGTGTTCGCTAGCCCTGTTCTATATGACAACGACAAATACGTAGTATTCGCTGAAGTATCCGGCGACATACATTGCAGAACTGTGGAGAAGGGCATCAAGGTAACCACTATACTTACCATTATTTTTACTGCCATTTTATTCATGTGTTATAGCCATTTTTTTTTTCAAACTTAACAGGTGATATAATGGTAATTTTTGTAATTTCAGATTTGGAAATACCAGGGTGCAAAAGGAAATGTATTTTCTTCATTGTATATAAAGCAAATCGATAAATTGAAATGGCAAATGGTATTTGGCTGTCATGATAAGGGTGTGTACAGTCTTGCTGTTAAAAACTTCCAACCAGCTCTTCACTGGAAAACTCAACTTACATCCCCAGTGTACTCAACTCCTTGTGGTCTGAGTAATAAACTAATACTGGCTGCATCAAATAATGGGAAACTGTGTATTCTCGAAGCAGAAACTGGAGTTTTGGTAGAAGAATACAGTTTGCCAAATGAAACATTTTCGACACCAGTTACGTATGGTGACTTTATTTACATTGGGTGTAGGGATGACCATTTGTATTCAATTAGATACCTCTTCAAATCATGATTGTCAATTCATCTAGTCTATAAATTAATTTGTTTATTTAAATTATTTACAAGTTAAGAATAAATTGCCAATAAACATAAGGACTAATAATAATTTGTTATGTTCCATGTACCTGTTAATGTTTGTTTACGAAATAAAACACTTCTGTATAATTATAACTTTTATTTATGATCTTACACAACATATAGGTATAATGAGCATTCATAAATTTTGACTTGTTACAAGTATGATATGGTTACAGAATCAAACAATTATCCAATTGGAATGCATAGCTTTCTGGTACAAATAACCTAGCACTTGTGCAGATCATACAGCTTTGTATACTTATAAAGCAGCTATAAATAAAGTATAAATTCCTTTAAATAATATTTCATTTTTGGCAATAAAATGCATAAAATCAATGTTTTGGAACGACTGGGAGCATTGTACATACATAATACTTGACCTACAATAAGCTCTTATATTGTTAACCCAAAATCCCTGGAGTATTGTTATTGTTGCCAGAACAGTTCTTAAACAAATATAAAATTAACAAGCAATGTACATAAACATGATACTACAGTACAGTTCACTGTTCCTCCTCCCCAAGCTCCACTTTTACTTTGGAGAAGTCAAAGTCTTCACCAGTTCCATACTTGTATATTTTAATCACATCTAAGCAGGTAGTCTCGAAGTGTGTGGTAGCATCATATGACTCAGAAATAAAGATCTGGCTCTGAGTTCCATCATCAATGGGCTCATAGTAGTCTGACACCGACACAAATTTCTGTCGGATGGGCCCAAGCAGATCTAAGCCAGGCTTGATCTCACTCTCAGGATCATTGGTTTCAACGGTGGTGGACACCATAGCGATGAACCAGCCCTTGGCAGCTACCTGGTGTGTGTATGACACAACCGATATATAGATATCAGAATGCCTGCCCACTTGCTTCTGAGGAATGATAATTTGAGTGGACAGAGCATCCTTCGTGTTTGGAATAGGATGGTCCAATAAACAGATGCAACGGATCACCTGGGCCTTCTTGCGAACACGGTCAGGAACATAGCTGGGGTCACAGTACACTTGCTTGCACTTGGCTATTTCATTGCCAGAGCGCACACCAACTACTTTGCCACCTTCTCCAAGGACAATCTCATCTATGGGTTTGTCCAACATGTAGGTACCTCCATAAATAGCAGAGAGACGAGCAAAGCCCTGAGGCAGCTCTCCAAGACCATACATAGGGTACAGGTAGGGAGATTTTCCATACCTAGCGAGTGAATCAGAGTACAGTTTAATGCGGCGAATGGTTTGAATAGCTGGTTGCTGGAGGTAGTTATCATTGAGGTAGAGGGCCAGTGCATGCCCAGTGAAGTCTTGGGTGTTCTTGTCGAGACCAAACTTGTCATACAGCGACTGCATGTTGGCTGTGTTCGGGTCTAAGTCTTTCCAGGTCTTGGCGTCATCTTCCTGGAAATCTTGAACATAAATAAGGAAATTCCTGAAGCGTCTCTTCTCGAACATCCCCATAAGATCCGATGCCAGCGCCTCCTTTTGGTCGACGGGGACCTTGGAAATCTTTCCGCCTTTGTAGACATAGCTGCCTTCCACAGACTTGAATTCCAAATAACGAGTCACACCCGTGTGAATGAGCAGTTTCACAAGGAGGCCATTGGCCATCAACAGCTTGGGAATCAAATCTACATTCCAGTCGCGACCTCGACCGTATGTTTCATCGGGAGCCGGTGCGTTGAACTTTGCGAACAATTCTTCTAACGGGGTAATTGACGCAGATTCACCACCGTAGTACTTATTACGATCAATGTGCAGTACCTTTTTTCCAGACACGGAAAGCATTCCACTTAGGATGCACTCCTTCAGACCCGTTCCCAGAACTATCGCGTCGTATTCTTCATCCATGTTGAAGGATTTATGAGAAGTTTTTCCAATACGAAAACGCTAACCGGGTGGTAAATGTCAAAATGTCGGAAAGAATATGGCCGACTTCGATGACGACGACGTGTGAGTTAGTGTTGCGCAAACAAATATTATGAAAACAGTCGATATTATTGTTTATTTACGTGGCAACTAGGGATTCCGGGATTTCGGAAATCAATCGGGCTATAATTGGATCTATCGGATTATTATTTCAATAGAAACTTACACTATTGTGAATTGGAATTGTGCCCGGTATATGGCAATAGGCTCACCCCCTATTACATGGGACTCATAACATAAATAGTGAAAAGTGGGTGTTACATTGTACAGTGGTACCCCTTCGGGGATAAAAGGCGTGATGTTATGTATGTATGTAAACTTACACTACTGCGATGAACATTAGTTATTACATTAGACGGTTTCTATGCATCTATTTATTACTGATATTATTATATTACTGAGTGGGCTACCGACATTGATAACGAAAAATGGGGGCTAAGGTTTTTTTGCTCGTCAGATAGCGCAAATGTAGGAAGGGTTTTATGCCCAATCACAGCAACTGTCAAGTATTTAAGGTGTAACTCTATCTGATTCCCTATTGGACGGGGACGGGGAACACAAGCGTAATCCACTGGGCAAAAATACGGTAGGCCCCATTGATTTAAAAGGCATTCTAGTCTTATTAGAATAAAAATATTAATATCAGAATAGAATTCTTCCCTTCCTTAGAATAAAAGAATTAATAAAATGTACCGTTTAAGCGTTTAGTATTTAACCCACTTAGAGGGAGTGATTCTACGGTTATCTTTGTCGAGACTTCCAACCCAGGCTCTGTGTTCTGTGTTATCTTTTTCAAAAGCAGTTATAATTGTAGGTACCTATCTAAAGAAAATAAATAGAATAATGTAACAAATTATTTAATAAAAGTAAAGAGCAAATTAATATTGTACATCTAAATAAAATGCAACGATCGCGATGATACGATATTATTTTCAATTTGGCAATCCTATGAATGTCATGTCACGTTCCGTCATGTGTCAAATACGTCAAACGACAAAGCAGTCAAGAAGCAAGTGTCATGTCAGACAGTCAGTCATTGAGTTCAGTCAGTTACTTGTCTCGTCTTTTTTGCTTGTTTTTAAGTTTCGTACTCTGTCGTGTGTAATCGCTCTGTGGTGATCAAACAATTATTTTCAAACGTCTAAGAATATGCAAACCCATGTATCAACAAAACTCATCTATTCATTTCGTGATATTCGAAAATATTTGAGTTAGTGAAGTGTGAATCTGTGAACGGATGACTTCCTACCATATGTTTGATTTCGTACGGCACATTATCCCTAATTCAGTAATAACATATACGTCTAAACACGGTGTGACAATACAACACTTTTAAATGAAAGGTAAAAGTGGGGTAAACTCCGTTCAAATGAATAAAAATGTCAACAGAAGGCAGTGGAGAGACACCTTCTACTGTGCCATGTTTACCCGGGGCTCCGGAGCAGACTTATCTGTTTCCAAAACCGAAAGGTCACTCGAGGTCTGTAAGTCATGGAGGCACTCCAATGCTCGCGGGGAATCCCACCGCTCCGAGACCATCACTCAAATCAGCGATGCGTGGCCACCAGCGCGCTCTGTCACACGGACAGATCGGCGAGGGCGGGCGGCCCACCAGCGGTCCCGGCCACAGCCGCGCCGGCAGCCGCACAGACTTCATCCTGCCGCCCGGACACCGGGACCCGCCGCCACCCACCACACAGCCACGCATTGGCTCCGTGCGGATGCACTCCCGGCAGGCGTCGCGGTCCGACTCCATCTACACCATCCGACGCACGTCCGTCGTCAGCCCCTGGAGGCGGGCAGCCTTCTGGTTGCTGCGGCGCCAGCAGCCCGCTGTTGATACTCGGCACCTCATTGTCACTCCCAACCACCTGGTGCCAGACAAAACTCCTCTCAAGGAACATCCTAACGGAAAAAGATGCGACAATAAAGTTAGGACTACAAAATATACCTTATTATCATTTTTACCCAAGAATTTATTTGAACAATTCCATAGAATTGCAAATGTGTACTTTATATTCATAGTGTTGTTGAACTGGGTGCCTGCAATCAGTGCGTTCGGTAAAGAAGTGGCCATGCTGCCCGTGTTGTTTGTACTTGGTGTGACTGCTATCAAAGACTTATTTGAAGACAGAAGGAGACATAATTCTGATAAAAGAATAAACAACTCATTCTGCAGAGTCTTCAAAAAGTGAGTATCTTTTCTCATATGATTTTGCTGAGGTGTACTTCTTATGGTTTTTACTACAACTCATAAAAATATAAAATATGCTACTAGTCATTCAAAGATATTTAAATACCCATTCAATTTATTGTTATTTCATTTACGTGAAGGTCTCTGGATCTTTATTCTAGAATTGACACCCTTAAAATCTCTATAACATAGCCCACACGAAAGGTTGTACTCGGTGTTATATATCATCTTGGATCTGAGCTTATAAAGTCATAAAAATAAGTCTTCTAATCCAAGATAACAACTTAAAAAAATGACAATAATATCTACCTTCATAAATCTTTATGAGATATTTAAGCAGTAACAAGCTATAAAATAAATAAACAAATGATTAAATGAGATCCTTTTATTTGTTTGTTTGTTTGATGCAATCAACATTAATCATATCTCTATGTAGCACATAAGTTCTACATAAAATGACCATTAAATATTAAGGCAATAAAATAATGCAATAAGGCAGCTTATCATTAAATTGTCATTTTATTCCAATTTATAATTATACATTTATTTAACAGTTATCATAAATTGACACTTACAGTACACAAATGATGTACAGATTCATAAAATACCTAAAGGATATTCCAGCTCTAACTATTATTAGGCAGCCTACATACCGGTAAATATAAACAAAAATAACGCCTAATATTACAATGGCTATTGTTCAATGTTGGGTTGTTTAAAAGGAAAATCCTAATTCTGAATTTGTTTCGCCTTTAACACTATCATAAGTGTGTTGTATAAAATTGTTTGTGTACACTAAAGCTAAGTGGTGTGATAGCTTGGGCTTGTAATCTACTGATTAGCAATGGAATCATTTACGGTGCTACCATCGAAGGTACTTATTGCGGTTAATCGGCTAAATCAGGCGCGATTACGATCGGCCGAAAGCTTCTAGAATGTAATTGTAGACACTTTTCTTGTGACGTCGGCGTCGATACTGTATTTACGACACCCACTCAAGATTTACTTACTTGACATCTAAGCAAGTTGTAGTTAAGTACCTGCCCATTATTTTAAATGTCATCAGAGTCATCACCAAAAGTCTGTTTTCTAATGACAAGCCGTCTCTCAGCTCAATACCAGCACTTCTTATCCAACCACTGCTTACGCCAGTAGCCAATCCGTGAATACTGCGCTAAATATGGCCTCGTGCCATTTAGAGAGCGCCAGTTATTCAAAACAATACGTGCAGGTCCCTGAATAAGCTGAATTATTGTATCAGGCATTTTGTATGATATTTATATACTTACTGTACCATCTGTGTATGCCAGTACACACAGTGTGACTGTGTGAAGAGCCCTCGTCACGATTACGGTTAATAACATAAAACGGAATGTAAATTACGACCCTCATAATCTCCTTTTTGGTTTAAATTCGAGCTCTTGTCACGGCCACGCGGAAGTAGATTCCGGCAGTGCCTGCAGCAATTAATGGCAATGAGATTAAATATTACTGTGTCACTCAAACTCAACAGTTGCGTATTACCTGTATCAAGCCATCGGTCTCGGTTGTCATAGTCGAACGTCCATGAATTAAGCCCAAAAAATAGGACAATGGCTTTAAATAAATAATGCGGTATCATCCTTGTCCAGTTGTGGAAAATGAAGACAGTTTCTCCGTGTAAAATATTGTTAATATTTTGCTGAATCTGGTTCAATCAATGCCAGTTCCATTCTAATTGGGAAATAGCCAAGAATTAAAGAACATTTAATTACAATCGAACATTTTTTCCTTTCATTTTGACACGGATGTACCCAATTGTAAGCTTTACTAAAATAAAACATATTTAGGTACTGGTTATACTGGTAAGGTCTCATGATATTTAACACTCAAAAATACGTTTTAATTACTCATAATTATACGCAAGTGCGTCGATTAATCAAGCAGAGATGCCTCAAGGCGGTGCAGGTTTACGCGTTAACTCCGACGCGGTCGATAATGTCGAGGATACGTCCGAGGACACATCCGACTTAAGGGTAAATACTATCGTTTAATAATGCATTCACAAAGGGGATTTAGGGCTAGATAGAAAATGCAAATGGGCCAATCATTTGCAAAACAAAAATAAATGTTAGGCGGGCATACAGTATAACACAAAGTTCAGCCACCTACAAAAAGAGTAAATTGCGGTTTATTTACCATCCAAATTTTTGTTTCACGTGTTTATTTTCGCTCATAGTATGCGTAAATTCTGCATCTGCACTCTCATATGGTAAAAGGTAATTCAAGTAACTATACTTGTCGCGGAGAACCTAACGGGTAACCGGGGCTCCGGCTCGACGTGCAGGAGAAGGAACGGGGTGGTTTTTAGTCAGTAAGAGCCTGACACTCCCTCCCGCCTCACCTAGGCGGGAGCAGACATTCAATGATTTTCCCCCCTTAAAAAAAATTAACTATACTTCAAAATAGAAATAAAGAAGTTTGACAGACATTTTTTGCCGTATACAAATGCTATAGATATTGATAAAATTTTGACATATAGAATAATATAGATAGACCATGACCTCGATTAACACATAGGATATTATTAATCGCGGTAGCGTGGGCGGAGCGGTAGTCCTACTTAGGTCCAAAAATATGGAATAACGTTACTACCGACCTTTTCGTAATGGAGCGCAGGTCCAGTGTCGTGTCTATGGAAGGCATAAGTAATTCATTCGACATATACGGTGAATTTCTTATGATGTTTGCCACACCAAGTGGTAAGGCGGTCCGGCCACTCGGGTAATAAATTACCCATTAATATTATAAGCGTATCATGGATACTAAACTTGTTTGTCCGTAAACTATTCCAATATTTATTTATTCCATTAGAGAGTTTAACACTCTCTTTCAGATATTGTTCTATTAAATTTTTACGACTACCAACCAACATTGGTCTGTAGAAAAAATAAACTACAAAATCTATCCTTTGTTTGTCGTCGAATATGGGTGACTATCAAAGTAAAACACGTTTCGTATGTGCATTGCAAATCAATTTAAAATAAGTGCAAAGCTATCATAACATTCACAGCGTAATCAGATTTGATTAAAGTGAATGGGAACCACGTGAGAGCATAATTCATAATAGACAACTACCAGGAAAATCTATCATCATTCTACCTTTAACGGTCATCTAAATCGTATAACTGTATGTAGGACATACAAGCTAATGTCGTATCAATTTCTAAATATTGGCAGCCGGTCAACACTAAATGCAAATGGCTATAGGCTATGTGACTAACATTTTAGTCACAAAGAGGAAAGTTTGGCTGGTATTTGTGTTCAGAGATAAAACGAGCACAATGTCAAACGGCAGGCCGGAACTACGGCTGTTTTTGAGCACGAGCCGGCTGATCGATTACACGTCAAACGTTTCATACGTTCGACAAACATCGTACAAGTTCAAAGCTTTCACGCGCACACCTCGTTAAATGTAATTTCGATTGATTTTGTTGAGATTGTTCGGTGAAGACCTCAAGGTCGGCGCTCGCAGCCATTGTTGTTGTCTGTGTCTGTAAACTAATATTGGTAAACGTTTCCTGATTACCAAGCAAACAATCAAATCGGATGTCAATTTCAACTGGAAAAATGACGATTCTATTTGAATAAGTTTTAAAAGATTGTTGCTTGCTTGACTTAATACTTTCACGATTCACACTTATTTCGTGATGATGGTAACTGTCGAAGCTACAATAATTATTGTTGACACGCAAACAATTGTTTAGTACACGCACCGATACACCAAGAAAATTGACCAATAGGGAGGTGCCTAGCCTACCTGCCAGTAAAGCAAATAGTCTTGCGTCTAGAATAAGAATACCTTCATAATTATTAATGACCGTTCGTTAATTAGGTCACGCTAATTTATTCTATTTTCTTATTGACGTGAACTTACCTGATAGCATAGTTATTTGGAAAATATTGACGCATGAAGTAGTAACACTTACATATTACTTAAATGTAATCGATTGATGAAAAACGAGATTAAATTAAATGCTACAGGGAAAAGAAGGTACTCTTCAAATTATTGTTTATTTATGTTTTCATCGGTTTGTCTACCGCTACCGTTTATCGTCGAGGTATTGCACAAAATCAATCAAAAATAACCAAAATGAACTGTGGTTAATGCAGCTTACTCATTAAACTGTTTATCGGGGCAACTCGTATAGTTTCAAGCCGACAGACGGGGCTCATACTCACGAGCGACAAACGACGTAGCGAACGTCGTGCAGCCAACAGTCAGTTGGCTTAATTATTTAATTTAATAACTATATCTTATGAAACTTATAATGCTAAGAACGTATTCTGGTAATGCTATATATCATTAAAATCTTAAAGAATGGATTAAAATTACATTAGAACTAATTTCTAGTAATACCGTGGCAACCCAATTAGATTTAGAGATAGCCTCAGATTTAGGATGTTTATTCATAGCCTGTTAAGTAGAGTGTGAACGTCTGCGAACCGCGTGTTGTAACTCGTAACCTAGCAACATCTAGCATTGCATCACTCAAGGAAAGATACTCTGTTCCAATAACTATGTAATGTTATTTATAATCTACATAACCCCCTGTCACGTTCGATCACAATAATGTTTGCTTCTCCTTCGACCACATCGACAACCGAGCTTGTATTCATCCTGACTCATAAATATAAATTGTTCATTAGATATTTCAATTACCAGTGAAATGTATAGATAAAGGAACGGTTTATGTCCACAGTGACATTAGTGTTGACTGTTGATATTTTATTTATGATGCATTTGTATAAGTGGGAGCTTTTACCAGTAACCATTAGTAAGGGACAGTGATTACGTGGCGAATGAATGTGTAATGAGGGTGTGGGGACGGGCTGGACACTCTGCCCACTCTGGACACGCTACCCCGTAACTGGGTCAATGGTCAAGGTCCACTGGAACAGTATCATTCCAAAGACCTCGAAATAAAACAGCCCGTGCGTGTTTCACGGGAGTTATT